ATTAGGCATCCTCTCTTCTTTCCTTGTCGAACCAGCAACTTCCTTTCCTGAATCAGGTTGGCTAAAGTGGATAATCTCTTGTTTTTGGCAAGTAGAATCAGGATTCCTGTTTTGGTTTTGGCTTACCCTTAGCCAGTCTCCATATTGTAGTGTGGTGGGTTCATCTTTAAACTTCATATTGCATGTCTCTTTCCCATGACCAATCAGACCGCAGCGAAAGCAGATTTTTGGGAGCCTTTCGTACTTCAATAGCCCCACACGAGGTGATTCATCAGTCTTCTGTCCAAGATTGATGATTCGTTTTATCGAAACTGTGGCGTTAAGCTCAACCCGGATTCGGAGGTAAGCTCCCATATTTCCATTCTTATCTCTGAGGTCAACAGCAAGCACTTTGCCAATAGCATTTCACATTCTTTCCCCTGCATCTTCGTTCATGCATCCTAGCGGGACTCCATACACTCTTACCCATTTATCGATAGTGTTAAAATATATTCCTCCAAGCTCCACTCTTCGTTATAATCCTGTAGTGCTAGCTAATCACCATCAAAAGTCCAAGGGGCTCTTTCAATGATCTCCTGCTTTGCCTCTTTAGAAGAAAACTTGAAAAGGAACAGTTTTTTGTGCAGCACACGACCTTCCACCAGTTTCATGGCTCCCCATATGGATTTGAAGACTTTGATGACTGTCTCACCCTCAATAGGAGAAGCCGAGAACATTTTGGATACTATGCAAGAGTTTGGATCCGTTTCATTTCCATTCTTCTGCACGATCAGGTTTTCAACAAGGGTTCCCTCATCCTCCGTGAAGTGAAGGTCACCTAGCAGATGAAGGAGCTCGTCCGCCATAGTTAGCAATAAGGTAACAGAGTGAGAGAAGTGACCGTTCTGAGGAGGAAAGCAGTTCCAAACATGTTTCTGGGAGGCGTCTATGCTGGCTAGGAGCTTACAAATATTGTAGGGAGTCTTTTGCATAATAAATCTGTCATAAGCTGTAGATACCCATGCAAAAACCCTTAGCACGTCAATCGATCTAGCCTGGCAGCATGTAGTCATACAAACCTTAATCCAAGCATTAAATTCTATTTGTCTCTTCCGGCGCGTATTGGCACACTCGCTTAGCTTTTTACAAACCTGCTCCTCGGGTGAAGAGAAAGGAAACCATTAATTGCTACCGAAGCTGGAGTCTTGTGCAACTTATATGATAGCGGTATAGTTCCCTTGTCCGATGACAAAGAGGAAAGAGTTTGACTCTTCCTTTTATAAACATCCCATCTGGCCGTTTCATGGGAGCCACCAAACTCGTACCCAGAAGAGAATTTTCCCTTTTGAGCTAAATCCATGCAAAACCCTGCAGATCAAACATGGATTATGCCTGTTCCTTGAACAGTTTCTTGGTTCCCCCATTGACAGGATCGGCTTAGGGAAGTGGGTCTCCAACTGAGGTCATTGTTAAAACACCGTTTCCTATACCGGTGCCGGAGGGTGTCCGACCCCCACCATGATGAAAACCACGGTCTCTTCCTTCTGTGAAAAGACGGGCTTCCTCTTCTTTGCCAGTTTAGATCCCTTATCAGCGTTGCTTGAGTTCAGGGGTTTCTGTTCCCCTTCTAATGAAACACGAGACCATTTCTCCACTGACTTCTTTCCGGCCCAGTCTTTCTTGCGAAGAAAAAGAGCTTGTTCCAGATCCTGTGCGATCAAAGATATATTATAGACAAGCACCGACAGGAGAAACTTTGCCTTACCCGAGGGTTCGTCTGACCAACAGAAAGTGTTCGCATTTGTTTCCAATAGAAAGTGGGTTTGAAAGGTGACGGCAACCGGCGGGCCAGTTGAGACCAGTTACAATGAAATGTAGACCAGAGAGTAACCTGCAGATTCCTTGACCGGAGACCAGCCATGGGTGAACCGAGGAACAAGACCAGAGAAATTACCGGGAGCCATCCTAGATAACTTTTCCACCGTTTCTCATCCCACAACTAAATATAAATTTGGTATCTAAACAAAGATATAGAATGCACCAAATTATTTTGAACGAAGAGTTGTGGATGATGAATCTGATCTTTGATTTAAGTAAGTTATTGCTTGTGAGCAAGTTGTGTTGATAAAATGATATGAAATAAAGGGAACGAATCAATAAAAAAAAGCAACAAAAAGAATAGATATATGATAAGGAGAGAGATTTGTATTATTATCTCAATATAGATTATGTATAATATATTCTCCAACCTTCATATTTGTATATACATAGAGTAGATGTCATTTGGAACTCTAATCCTAATAGATATTAAAGTCCTAATAATAAAGTACATCAAATTCATATTTAATACATGATGTTCTAATCATAACAAATATTCAAATAAATAAATATTAATAATATTATTTATATGCTGACAATCATTCTTAATTTTATATGCTGACAATTATTCTTAATTTTTTAAACTATTGACAACACACATCATGGTTCATTCTGACGCAACTACTCGAACTCAGAATATCTAAAAAGAATTATCGTATTTTTAACATTGAGGCGCTTGATGAGTTATGTTTTATTATAACTAAACTACAAATGAAATTAAAGACTCAAAAATAATAAATAAAATCAAATAGTGATCGATCATGATTAAGTCACAAAAAAATAAGTAAATCATGATCTCCTACGGTTAATGATGTCCATAATATTTGTTGGACTCTCCATCAATCATGAGTAGTTAAAGGGCTAAGCTTAGAACTTACGACCTGACGCTATAATTGTCACCATGTGAACATATATTTATCAATCTTTATTAATTTTATAATACATGTGTTTCGTTCTTACTATTTATATAGAGAATAAAACCTACATTTTCTCAAACTCATATTTATATAAATAAATATTAAAAGCTAAGTCCCCAAGTTGTAATGGAACTTGAGTTTTGGTATGTCATTATTATTTTAGGCCCTGAAATTCATTTCAATAATGACTTCCAACCATATAATATTTCGGACTAAATATTAATAAATTAAGTTACTAAAAATATATATATTTTTATTTTAAATGTTATTAAATAATTTTATTATTTTCAAAGATTTAAATCTTTTTATATTTTTTTCCAAATAAAAGACTCAGTTTTATTAAAAATATATATCCAAATTATAATAAATGTTTACAAATAAGTGTAAACTAAACACATAATTAGGATTTTTTATAACCATTAATATAAAAAATTAGTCACTTGTGAAAATGCTTGGACCATATAAGGAAAAATGTTAAAATTCTTTAAAAAAACTATAGATACGAAGAAATCTAACTGCATCGCAAAATAAACCTCAATAGGGGATCAAACTAGTAAAATACCACCGACAATTACAAATCAGAATCGAGCGTCGTGAGAAAACAAACTCTGAAAACAAGTCGGGTATCCAAATACAATCCAAGGGTCTAAAGTAGGGAAGATCACCATGATAACAAATAAGAGTCATCTTGATCAGTCGAGATGACGTCAAATCCAACCTTGAGAAAATTAAACAAAGATAACGACCAAAAAGACTGAGAAAAACATTGAAACCGTACCGAAAGATAAAAAAATGTGTCATACAAATAGAGAAAAACATACCTAAAGACATAATTATTAAAATTTTTAAAAAATAAATATATAATATAAAAATAATGAAAAAATAATGAATATCAACACTTGGTGACTAGCATGTTATAGTTAATCAACAAAGATAAAGAGAAAAAAATGAAATTAATTGGGCTAATGGAATGAGACACTAGATTTCTTAAGTCAGATCAGATGTTCAAATCCTAGCGTATGTGAATGGAGCAAACCGGGTTAGGAGGGTCGTCCTTACTTCCGCAGTCTCCGATTTGGATTAGTTGGTCAATAGATCAGACACCAGTAATTAATTCAAAAAAATGAAACTAACGTGATGCAAGAAAAAAGAGTTAATTGCATTTGCATTACATATCCTCAGACTATGACTCTCATTTTAAATTGGTCCTTAAACTTTTAAATGTTCTAATTTCATTCATAAACTATGACTATCATTTTAAATTAGTCATTAAACGTTTGAAAAATTCAATTTCATACCCAAACTATGTCCCTCATTCTAAATTGATCCCCAAACATTTTGTACATTCCAATTTCATCCCAAACTATACATATATACTAATCACATCTCTTTGCTAATGAATCGTTAGACCAAGTTATATTATTGTATGTTTTTTTAAAAAAATAGGTTAAATAATGGTTGAAACTAGTTACATATTTGGATGATTGGGGATGAAATTGGAATATTCAAAAGTTTAAAGATTAATTTAGAATGAGAATCGTAGTTTGAGGATGAAATTGGAGGACTAATATTATTCAAACTATTTTTAATATATTAACAACACACTTTGCAGATACAATTACTTGAATTTGAATCTTTTAAGAAAAATAACATTATTTCTTATAAAATCATTTAATTAATTTTATTTTTTTATAATATATCATAATATAATTATATATATTCTCAGTATATAAAATAGAAACAACCTTTTTAAATTTTATCAATTACACATTGTATCTAAAACCCGAGCCATTTAGGAAGGATTTTAATGAAATAAAACTCGATTTATTAACAAAAGATATGTCTTTGTTGAGTCGAGAGGTTATAATTCTATATATAGTCTGTACAAAATATATAAAAGTTTTTAAGATTAAATAAAATTTGGATGAATGTAATTCTATAACACATGTTTTTGTGAGGAGAAAGAGAAAAGGTGAACGGCCAGGCCAGGACATGAGTGTGATTTTAAGACATAAAGGTTAACATCTCTGTCCAACTGAAAACGACTGCAAGCAACTTGTGGTCTACCTGTGAATATATTAATTTAATTTCTCTATATAATACAAGATAAAATAATTGTATAAATCCATCATTCATTTCTTTATATATATACATATGCTTCTCTCCTAGTTATCCCTCTCTTTCTTTCTTCAACCAAATCTTCTTCATTCTCTTAGTTTTCAGCAGAATTCAATAATGGTGGATCTTCAAACTGTATGCTGCATGTGCGGCGACGTTGGTTTCCCCGACAAAATCTTCCGCTGCAACAAATGCCGCCACCGCTTTCAACACTCGTATGGATCTTTCTCGTTTCACCATCATCATCCTAATCCATCTCCATATATATAGGAATGTGTGTGTATCAGTATGCATATATCTCATCATCATTCACATGATCATCATCATCATGGGGATTGATAGATACCCTTGCTCCATCTTATCATCATCATAACAGGTAGATAAAACCCATCTCCACCAAGCAACACCCAACCACAACAACCACCAAACACAAATGATTTCATATTACACGAATTGAACATCATCTTTTGCTTTTGTTATTTTATGGGTTGAAACTTTAACGATTTCTTGATTCCGGAAGGTATTGCAGCAACTACTACAGCGAGTTCGCGGAACCGGTTGAAGTGTGTGATTGGTGCCGAAGTGAAGAAAGAAATTCAAGACAAGGAAGCACTTCAAAGAAATCATCAACGGGTAACGAAGCCGGAATCCTGAACCGATCCGAGTATTCTGATCAGAAAATCAAGCAAGACGGCGGTGATCGCAAAGGAAAGAGCAGTGGGACGCCTTCTCCAAGGCCTAGTACACGCAGGTACAAGCTTCTCAAGGACGTGATGTGTTAAAATCCTTGTGTGTTTTATAGTAGCAGAACGTGTGTATCTCAAGAAACCCTTGTGTGTTTTATAGTAGCAGAACCTGTTTTATTAGTTGACAGTATGGATTTTCACTTTTCTCTGTAAGTTTTGTTAATAAAATAATGTACCCTACTGGATCATTGGCACGGGTTTAAAGCTTTTCTCTTGGATCCCTTGAGTTTTTCTAGATAGGGTTTGTTTTAATGGCAATAAGGGATGAGTTGCAGAACCTTTCACTAACTTGTTGAGTCGAATTGAATGCACTTAAATGGTTGGCTCTTGGCCAAAGAGTTCATAGTACCTAAAGCTGCAAGAGTTGTACAGATTCATTGAAAGCCTTTAATTGCTAGGCCCTCCATTATTATTGTCTAAAAGGAAAACAAGTGTGAAAACTCCCTTCCGTGAAGAAGAGAAACACATGGTAAATGGCCTTCAACTAGACTAGCTAGCAGTGACAGGAAAAGGACAGGGTGGGTTTATTTTACCAATTTGTTGCTCTTCATATTTCTTACTATTTGTATTGTACTGCATTCCGTAGTTCCATGAAATATTTCAAAGTACAAAACAAACTATGGTGGGTTTGGTTGGTGGAAATATTTATGAGATAATTGGAATATGTGAAGGAATTAGAATATATCAGGAATTGAAATTTAATTTTGTTTGGTTGGCAGAAAATTGAATTGGAATCCAATTTCATATTCTGTTTGGTTCGCAGACATATCAGATGAATTTGATTTCAGTAATGTAAAATGATATAATTGCCCTTCTTATTTGTTTGCTTTATTTTAGTTTGTTTTACAACTTATATGTAGTAATATATTATAAAAAACTAAAAAATATTAAAATTTCATTTTATTGATTGATTATTCATTCTAATAAATTATAAAAATAATGCTAATAAACATCATAAGTTAAAATCATCGCAATTAAAATATGTTAATAAGTTACCAAAAGATAGAGCAATATTTCGATACATTCCAATCGGAGTATGTTAATTAGTTATCAAAAAATATACCAAAAACTATTTTTATTCAATATATGAATTAGAAACTTGACCCGACACGACACAAAATAATAAAAAAAATATTTTTATTCAATAAAAACATTGACTTGATTGAAAAAAATTATATATAGAGGGGTATTATTGTAATTATTCCTAAATATATAAGGTAAAATTATATTTTTTTTCGGGACGGTCCGGTTTTTTTACCATAAACCTGAACCCGACCCGACCCGAATATCACACTTAAAAAACCCGACCCGAACAAAATAAAGTTTCACCCGACCCGAATATATGAATTAGAAATCTGACCCGACCCGAAATAATAAAAAATTATTTTTATTCAATAAAAACAATGATTTAATTGACAAAATATATATAGAGAGGGTATTATTGTAATTATTCATAAATATATAAGGTAAAATTATATATATTTTCGGGTAGGGTATTTTTCACCCTAAACCCGAACTCGACCCGACCCGAACATCACACTTAAAAAACCCGATCTGATCCAACCAAAATAAAGTTTCTCCCGACCTGAAATAATAAAAAAAATATTTTTATTCAATATATGAATAAGTTACCAAAAGATTTATGAGGGTAGTATGGTCAAATTTCAATTCCCTCCAACAAGAGAATTGAATTCCATTTCCCTCATTTGATGGAAAGTTGAAGCCATAAGAGATTTCAATTCCCTTGGAAAACTTGAACCAAACATGGAAAAGTGGTAGAATTGGATTTCAATTCTCTTCAATTCCAATGGATTCCATCCAACCAAACGCCACGTAAGGTTTCTTCCACTGTGTTATGAGAAACCAAACCCCCCATATTTTCTTTCTTTTTTTGCTTTCTCTTCCACAGCTCGGTTTGACTATGTTCATGTGTTTTGAACAAGGAAAAGTCGCCATTAATGAAACAATCATGAAATGGTCGCTGCTTTTCACTACCTTTCTCTCTATCTCATCCACCTTCCATTGCCCTGCAAGTCGTTTGCATTCTAAGATCTTTGAATTGAACATTAACATGCAACTGTCGAATATTTATAGCTATGTAGCTTATCTCAAAACATGTTTCATAATTTGTTTTCATTCATTCTTTTAGTTTCAAAAACCAATACGGTATGAAGGAAAAGGTTGTTAAGTAAAAAAAAAAAACCAATACCAGTTTAAGATTTGTGTCACACGGATTTTTGGTAAGGTTAAGTTGCAATTTTGGTATTGTAAATAAAGAAAATTGGATTGAGAGGACTACTGTTTCTATAGATAATTCTTTATAATATCCGATTCATATTAGTTGATTAATAAATTATATATCAATAATTAAATAAAATATATATAAATTTTGTATTGACATTTTATATTGATGTGTGTAAAATTGCGCAAATAATGCAACTGAAAAAAAGATTTTTCCCATATATTGTATCCAAGACTTTATTTTTTCAACTAGGGTGATATCTATAGTGTTTGTGGAAGACGGTGAGATTACACGACGTCTTTGGGAAAGATGACGAGAGTACACGACGTTTTTGGGAGCAAGGACAGCTCAGCTTGCTGACACAAGGGCCATGTACAGAGTGTTAACTTCAAGAGGAAGAAGAAGAAGACGCCAGTATATCGTGCGTCTTTCCGAGCTATTTAGAAGACGTTCAGTGTTTCATGTGTCTTCTCCAAGAATAATTATTAAGGGACGATATTTAATAAAATTTTCTCCCATAACTATTCAAACATTTTCGCAGTTAATAGTGGTTACATAAAATAACCATATTTGTATAACCATTAAATGTCCTTGAATTTATTTTTATGGTATTAGTAGTAAAATATATGATTGAAAATTTTAAATTTTACAATCAATAGGATTGGTTCAAGTGGTAAGCATCTTGATATCGCTTAAGTAAGTCTCAAGGTCGACTTCTTGTGTATGCTAAAAATTTCCACTGGAAAACTTACCCTCCAAAACTAAGTGTGCGAAGTGGGTCGACTCGGATTAGTTAGGACGAAGCAGATCAAAACTTTTAACGGAAAAGGACTAGTTTGAAACATAATGAATAGTCGAGTGACCATTTTGTAACTTTTAATAGTTGAGATATTCAATAAAAACAACTTCCTATAGTCGGATGACCATTTTGTTACTTTTGATAGTTGGGATTCAAAAAAGCAATATTTTATAGTCTAAAAACCATTTGTATATTTTACCATAAAAATATTATGTTCTTTAAAATATTAAAATTAAAACAAATATATCGAAATGAGTGAGTATACATTATTAAGTTATGAAACTTGAGTTAGGAATAATAATAACCCTCCATGGTAGAATCCTAGACATAATGTTCACCCATATAGATCGTCTTTTACAAATTACTGTGGTTATAAGAAGGGATGAAATTAAAGAATTGGGTAGAGGGATTTGTCTTTTAAAAATTTTAAATTCTTATATATTTTAGATATGTTTTTATATTTTCTATTGAAAATATATTTTCGTCCTTTAAAATTTTATAAATTTATTCCCTTAACATGATATTTTATAATTTAATTTATAAATTAAATTTCATAAAATATATAATTAAAAACTACTTGATTTAAGATTTTTAAAATATATTTTTTTATATTTTTATCAATTGTAAATTTTAAATAATAATAAGTTAAAATTAAAAGATTTAACAAAAAAATTAATAATGAATAGATTTAATGAGACATAGATTATAATGCTTATATGAACTTAATGAAAATTTTGTTTAATATATAAAGAAAAAAGTCCAAAGCAAATAATCACAGAGAAGTTGGGCTGGATAAAGATTTTTGAAGGAGTTGTGGCTTTATTATTATTACAAATATTATTTTCACGAGTTTAGTTATTCGACATGAGTAATCAATGAAGGCAAGAATAGGCAAGTGTTTTCTCCTCCATAAGCTCTCTGGCCGTTGCATCCATCTTTTCCCTCGACAACTGGTCTATCTTCAGCCCTTCCATTTCCAATGAAATATTCTCAAAATAAAGCAAATGCATGCTTGAATCTCAAGTAAAGCAAATGGAACTTACCCTTAACAATGGACCATTCTCCTTTCTCACATGTAACTGGGAAGGAGTAAATAATGCCAGCCTTAATTCCATATGACCCTTCAGAACACACTCCCATGGACACCCATGTTCCCTGAACAAATGACCCAAAAAGTAAATAATGAAGCTCTCGATGCAACAACAATGCAAATGAAAGATTAACCACCTTGGGAGTTCCAAGCACCCAATCACGTATATGATCACAAGCAGCACTTGCAGCAGATAATGCACTCGATAGCTTGCGAGCTTTGATAATGGCCGCTCCCCGCTGCTGCACCGTGGTAATGAACTCGGTGTTCAACCTAGAGAAGAATATTTACGTTAATGAATCATAAACATATTGCAGAAAATTGTTAATACGAAGAGAATACCAGTTATCATTAGCTATTGCAACTCTAACAGGCCTCTCTCCATTGGCGGTTTTTACGGTTGCATGATTAACATCCGGATATTGAGTTGATGAGTGATTGCCCCATATGATAACGTTCTTCACCTCACTAACATGAACATTTAGCTTCTCGGAGATTTGGCCTAATGCTCTGTTATGATCGAGACGGGTAAGGCAAGTGATGTTTTTATCCGGGATCGAAGGCGCAAATTCTTTCAAAATAAGTGCATTGGTGTTTGCTGGATTGGCAACAACTAACACCTGCATGATAAGAACTACTCATACATCAATCTGATATAAATCTCAAGACAATTTGCATTGGTAATTAAACTTCTTTTCTCGCCTTGCAGTCAGGGGCAGCATGCTGATCTAAGGCTGAAGCTTGAGCCTTATAAATCGCTACGTTTTTAGACATTACGTCCTTCCTTTCCATGCCTTCCTTCCGCGGGAATCCGCCAAGCATGACGGCTATATTGACGCCTTGACAGGCTTCAGTAACGTCTGTCGTCGCAACAACACCTTTTCAAGACAATTCGAATATAAATCAGAAGAAAACATAGACGAAGAAAGCGCAACAACAAATGAGAGTCATGAGACATGTACCCTTGAGAAGAGGAAAGGCAGCATCAATCAGTTCCATTTTGACTCCATTCAAGGCTTCAGCTGCTAGTTCGATATCAAGCATGTGAATAATTACAGGCTGCTCAGGGCCTAACATCAACCCTCTGGCAATCATAGGAACAAGAGCATAGCCAATTTGCCCTGTTGCAGAAAATCTACCGATTGAGCTACATACAAATTTAATATTTATGATTATCTGCAAAATCATCTACCATGCATATTCGACGTAAGTATCTGTATGCAATGCAGTCATTTGATAAAAGAAAAAAAAAGATAAGAACTGGTTCAAGCTTGCCTGCAGCGCCGGTAACGAGTACCGTTACAGGCTCCTTTTCTATGTTCAACAGGCCACACATATGCTTAATTATCTTCCAGAACAAAGCCACAGAAAATAGAACAACCAAGATTTTCTGAAGCAAAATAACATGCTCTTGCTCCATCTCCATGTTTCCAGAAAACCAAACACTACTACAATTACAAAGGCCTATGTTGAATTCAAGACAACGTATATATGGTATCATTGGCATGAGAATCCACAGTGATAATCACAACGAGGAAACCAGATGCTAAAGGAAGTGTACAAGGAATGCAAAAAACCAGCACGACAAGCTCTCTACTGTGAAGAAAAGAATCTACCTTCCAAATGATTGTGAAGAATATGGGTGAAGGACAAAGAACATAATTAAAATAGCATTGCTTGCTTGCTTTCATTAACAACTAAACGTGCAAAGATGGTTTTTTTTTTCTTTCTATACTGGCAAACTGAGATATAATAACTTCTTTCGCATGAACCAGCTCTGCTGCTAAAGGAAGAGGGAATACATTATAGATACAATATTTTTAAAAATCAATTAAAATATCTTAAAATTTTAAATTCAATTTAAAGTTTGAGCCATTTAATATAAGGCTAAGCTATATTTATTATCAAATTATTACTTTTGTTCTGTTTTGATCATCTAACTATTATCTCTTTAAAATCATACTTAATATTACGTTTTGATTTCATTTTGATCACCTATTGTAGAAATTAACAAAAATGCTAATGTGACAATTTTTAAGAAAATTTCAATGATGAAATGACTTTACCTTATGGTGACATATCAAAATCATGTTAATTTTTTTTAACAACAGATGATCAAAATAAAATCAAAAGACAACGTTAGTTGTGATTTTGAAGAAAAAAAGGTTAGGTGACAAAAAAAACAACTATGATTGTTTGGTTACTAACCTGTAGTTTACCCTTAATATAATTAACCCATATAAAAATGCTCCAGACCCAATGAACCTGGAACGCTGCCACGTGTATCGACGCTTTCCTCCCACGCTTTTAAACATTCTTGAAATCCGCCGCCAAATATTAAACCCAGAAGCTCCTCATAATTTCAGAGCAACAAAATTGCTACAAAGCGGAACATGAACTACGAACAGAGGCTTAAAGCCGCGGCCAAAATCATTGTTGAGTGCGATGCACGCGCCGGGGACGAGGCGGTGGATTGTGCAGATTTTGGAGTCACCGCGACGCTGAAACCACACCAAGTCGAGGGAGTGTCGTGGCTTATTAGGAGATATGTTCTCGGCGTCAACGTCGTTCTTGGTAAGTATTTTTTTCTCCTTTGTTGTGCTTTTAGTTCTTTTCGTTTTCTTTCAAAATTTTAGATTCTAATGTATCATTTTTTGTTTCTTGAACTTGTATTGCAGGAGATGAGGTGTTCTTTATTTCAAAATTGAATTGAAATGTGTAAACTTAACCGTTATTTTCCTGCTAAACTATCTTAGATAATAATTTCCGTAATTTGAAAATGGTTGACAGATGGGATTGGGGAAAACTCTTCAAGCTATTTCCTTCTTGAGCTATTTGAAGCTCCATCGGAAGTCACCAGGTCCATTTTGTGAGTTCAAGCTTTTGGTTTGATTTTAAGAATTTTAGGGTGGCTGGGGGCTTTTTGTTCTAATTTGTAAGTTGATTTCTCATTATTGTCGAATTATTTTGTAGTGGTGCTTTGCCCATTAAGTGTAACAGATGGCTGGGTGTCAGAGATTGTTAAATTCGCTCCTAAATTAGAAGTTCTTAGGTATGTTGGAGAGAAAGAGATCCGGCGAAGTCTACGCAAGACTATATATAAGCATGTGAAAGATAAGCCATCAACAACTGTGAGTTTCTTGCTATGTGATTTACATTATGTTTGAAATCTGGCCAACTAGTGGTTATATTATGTTACTCAGTATATTGAAAGTTTGAAACATCTTTACCAACATGTTTGAGGAATTTTCCCCTTTATTTGTAGGATTTGTCCTTACCCTTTGATGTGCTCTTGACAACATATGACATAGCGTTGAAGGATCAAAATTTTCTCTCTCAAATACCCTGGCATTATGCTGTAATAGATGAAGCTCAAAGGCTTAAAAATCCTTCCAGTGTATGGTCAAGATAGAAAGATATATCTTTCACGTTCTTCTACATATCATGTCTGATCTAGTTGGTTAAACAAGACATTCTAATTTGTAGATCTTGACAGGTTCTGTATAATGTCCTTAACGATAGGTTTCTTATGCCAAGACGGCTGTTGATGACCGGTACACCTGTTCAGAACAATCTCACTGAACTCTGGGCTCTGATGCATTTTTGTATGCCCTCAGTGTTTGGGACCCTAAACCAGTTTCTTTCTTTATTCAAAGAAGCTGGAGATATTTCATCAGGTTGTGTTTGTTATTTACTCTATAGGTTATCTAACTTTAGACCTCATCTGAATCGGTGTTTTGTCCTTTCAGAGCATGGCATATGCCTTCGAATCTAGTGTTTGATACTCTTGTTTCCCTCATTTTTAAGCTTTGGGTTTTCATGGACTGAAACCTATTCTTATATCCGCTTCTTTTTTGAAATCAAGCATTTATGACTTTTGAGGACCTGCAAATCACATAATGCCTATTACGGCATACTTACCTTATTGTTGGCTTCTACAAGGATATAAGGAGATTTATGGCACATGTCTTACACCTTCTCTGACCTCCTTTTACCAGATAGTACATCCAAGTCCAAGGAGCTATTTAAGAGTTTAAAATATATATTGCAAGCCTTTATGCTTCGACGGACAAAATCCAAACTTATTGAGTCAGGAAATCTAGTACTCCCTTCTCTTACTGAGATTACTGTGTAAGTTCTCTCTATTGAATTTTTGAGAAACTTATAAGTTACAAATGCTAATGTGCTTATTTACTTATTTGTTATTTTAGGTTGGCTCCATTAATTAGCCTGCAAAAGAAGGTGTATACTTCAATACTAAGAAAGGAGCTTCCAAAACTTCTTGCTTTGTCTTCTGGATCGTCTAGCCATCAATCATTACAAAATATTGTATGTTAGATTTTCTAACTTTTTAGCTTTGATGTTCTCTTATAAACTTTTACATTTATGTTGTAATATGAAATATTAGTTAATCCCAGGCTACTGTTCCTGCATTTCTTAATCATTTTATAAGTCACCTCGTGTCTCTTTCTGGAAGTTCATATTTCAGTTGTCAATATACTATGCTTCCTTTTGCGTTATTGAAATCTTATTAATGACCAATATTATTCAACTACCGGAAGAAGCTGCCTCCCGAGGTATTGGAGAGTGGTAGCTATTGTGTTGATAGATCCAACAAACTTATTACATGGTGATTTAATGTTAATCATTAATGTAGTTACAGATTGTTAACTCTTCTAAATAATTTTTTCTCTGTTCTGCTCTTACTGTTAACCGTTCTAAATAATTTCTTTTCTAATGTAATACCAATTCTACTCCTATTTCTACCCCTATTAACTGGTGCTTTTTCTCATGTAACAGTTGTTATATATACGTCTGCCTCAAGTCCTAGAGATGCTGCTCAAATTATAGTTCTAGGATCTTCTATCTGTTGGATATAATAGCCCATTTTAGGGCATCAAATTCTCAAGGCATTCCTTTATTTCTTGCCACGCCCCTATTTCTTTCTGTAGGAATTATAGAAATGAGTTGTCAATCCCTTAAGTTAAGAGATTATGTAATTTTTTTTTTTTCCCTTATTTCAAGGGATTACATCTCCTAGGATTAGTTTCCTTTCTTAGAGTTTCCTAGTTTAGAGGCATAATTTGTATATAAATATGTAATATGTTCTACTGAATGTACACAAGAATAAAAATAACAGATTTGTCTGTTTTCTACAGTCTGTTTTCTACACAGTCTGTTTTCTACATGGTATCAGGTTAGAGCGATCAATCCGATTTCCGCTTCTCTTTAAATCAATTCCTATTCAACTCTATTTTTTTATGGCTAATCCGGATCCCTCAGCATTCGAAATCACTTCCCAGACCAGCCCCTCTCAATCTGATTTTCAGACTTCAGATTTCAAATTTTCAAAGCAACAGAGGAAAAATCGCCTTTGGTGTGAACATTGTAAGAAGCCAGGCCATATGATAGATCAATGTTGGAAGCTGCACGGAAAACCAGCTGATTGGCAGCCCACACGGTCCAGGTTTCAAAAGGAGTCTCATATTGTCTCTCAAGATGATTCCTCAAGCAGTTTTAACAAGAAACAGATAGAAGAACTGCAGCAGATTTTGAGCAGTATGACAACCAAGCCTACAAATGTGACTCAACACTGCTTCGAGAGACAACAGCTTGTTCCTTACTTCTTGTGTCAACACACCTCAACAAAACGGGGTTGCAGAAAGGAAAAATAGACATCTTCTAGAGGTTACTAGGTCTCTTATGTTTGCTGCTAATGCTCCTAAGTATCTTTGGGGGGAAGTTTTTCTTACAGCCACTTACCTCATCAATAGAATGCCAAGTAAGACCTTAGATTTCAAAATTCCTACTAAGGTTCTGTTTCAGCTGTATCCCTATTTTAAACATTTAAACTCAAGTCTTTCTCCTCGGGTGTTTGGGTGTACAGCCTTTGTTCATATCCACAACAGAGGGAAATTAGATCCTAGGTCCATAAAGTGTGTGTTCTTGGGCTATTCTTCGAGTCAGAAGGGTTACAAGTGTTACTCACCTTCCACAAAAAAGACCTATGTCTCCTTTGATGTTACATTTTTTGAAAACCAACCTTATTTTTCAGGAACGGAAATTCAGGGAGAGAGTTACAAGGAATTTCAGCCTGTTCAAACCGATATTTCTTTACAGCCTATCATTTTCTTACCTATTACTGAAGCCGGCTAGCACTGTCCCAGTTCTTAGGGAGGGTGATGGGAATAACCTAAATAACTCTGATGAATTACCTTCCTCCTTATCTCAGCACTCTAGTCCGTGCAAAACACCTTCCACCACTACAAAAAATGCACCTAACAATGACCCTGAAACCATAACTCCCCAACCAAAACAACTCAGTGTTTACTCAAGAAGAAGGAAAGATGCTGAAGAAATCAGTCAGCCTAGCATTTGCCAAGAACCAGATTCGGATCCTGTTGCAACTGAAACAGAAGGTAATGATGGTTACCAAGAGGCTACTACTG